TCAAAGGCCCAGACCTGATTACAGATCTTCTTTATGCACCAAGAGCTTGTAACACTCCAAAGAGAAAGGAAACATTGAAATAGCATCATATGACCCCTTTAATCTTTGTTTGTTTGAATCTACAATCTTTCAGTCAGCAGCCCACATTTCTACCTAATAACAGGACCCACCACAACCAGATCCAACAGCAATTAAAAATTAAAGCCAAAAAATCTTCATATTTGGCAATAAATCAGGAAGACAATAGGAAAACTGACAAGTTTAAATTGTTTACATGGAATGAAACACACTTCTATTATCTTACATATATATATATATATATAAAACTCCAAAACAAACATCCATATTAAATGAGCTTAAGTTGAACGTCTTTCTCACCTGAATCTGGGAGAATCCTTGAGACATTCCTCGAAATCCACAGTAATCTTCATCTTGACTTGATCAGGTTTATAAACACAGATTAAGAGCTAACAGGCTAGCGTTAGCTCCCGTACAAACACGAGCAGCTCAAACTTCAGCTCAAATCACTCCAGAATCCCGAATAAACCCCACATATGAGCGCTGAAGTGCGATCTGCTCGTGTCAGAGGGACACGAAGCTGTGGAAATGGATTTTAAGAGCTGTAGTTCCTCCAGCATTAGCGAGTGGACTGATCTGAGGAGAGTAAATGAGGCAGTGGCTCAAATCCAAGTGCGCTGCCTATCTAGACTGCAGTTTTGGCCATGGGATTCGTCCTCAAGAACAGAAACGAAATCATTTGAGTAGAAACGAAATCATTCGAGTAGAAAGACATTTTGAATCCAACCGTAATTTAATAGTGGGCGGGGCTTAGTTTTAGTTCGCCTGTCAATCATCTTGAGCCTCACATCGGGTTGGCTGACGTGTCTTTGTAAGGCGGGGCTTTGTACCCACATGAAAAAATACTATAGAGATTTATAGAGTTTTTGAACCATACTATAGTAAAGTACTTTAATTAATTTGTTGTGGTAATTCTATAGTTGCTGTGGTAATATAACAACTATAGTAATATAAACAAATTACTTCGCCCAATACTGTACTGCGTTTTCTACAACTATAGGGTATATTATACTACAATACACTACAGTTTACTGTAGTAAAAACTAAAGTATACTGCAGTATTTATTACCGTTTATCAGTTCACTGTAGTTAATACTACAGTATGCTGTGGCATTCATTAACAAAGTGTTATAATTACTATAATATATACAGTATAATACAGCATGGATCAAAAACACTATAGTATTTACTATAAATTACTACAGCATTTTTTTCATGTGGGGAGAGGGCGTGTTTATTTATAACAAGTCTAATTATTATTACAATTATCTATCTTGTATATATTTGCAAGTTAAAGGTGCTCGGTGTTATTTATCGTCCAGCGGTTAGCGATGCCACCCGTTACTTTTCTCAGCGCTGGTCAGGATAGACCAATCACAGCCGTTTGCGCTTAAAGCGTCAGATTTTTCTTTAAAGATTGTGGGAGGATTTGCATCTATCTCCGTTTTAGGTTTCACTCATTGAATGTAACATATAGAAATAATTATACTTTGTAGTGTGCAAATGTGTTTGGTTAGATAAAAATACTCTTGAGATTTGAATGCGGCTGAATGGTGGAGTCGGTCCGTTTGAGCCGTCAAGCGCCCCCTAGAGGAAAAATAAATAAATAAATACAAAAACCTCAATAGGAACGGTGACATTTGCTGTTTTGAGATTTGAGACACGGGCAGAAACAGGCCAGCGAGTCCAATGCTCACTTCCCCTCCTTCCAAGTCCTGTCTGACACGCTAGTCTACACCAGATAGTTTAAAATGATGCATGTACATATCGACCACGCAGATATCGTTGTGATTTTTCAAGCTCGAAGAGTTCCCTCTTTCCTGCGAATCTACTGATTGGATCAAGTTTGTGGTCGCTGCGTGTATTCATTGTATTTTTTTGTGAAATACTTCCATCTAGTGGTAGATTTCTGACCTGCACTTTGCTTTAGGCGAGTCATATGTGCTTCAAACTCCTGCTGTGCATGTACTGATAATACTAAAATCTGCTAAAACCTTCTCAAAAAATAATAAAAACACATTTTTTTGCCACAGTTACACTTATTACTGTAAAATATTTTTTTTATTTTATTTTGGAGGCTCTGCCAGTATAAAGATCCGCTTACAACAATAAAGGGTAACTATAAATTAGACAACTGCGTCTTCCAGACGTTCATGGGACAAGGCAGGAGCTGATGGACAAATCTTGACATCTTTATGAATCCAAGCAATCTGCTGTAATGGATGGAGAAGTTACCATTTATTTCATTAAAAACATTTAGATTTTTTTTTTTATTATTTTAAATTTGAAAATTTTTACTCAAAATTTATTTCATTATATCAAAAATATTTAGATTTTTGAATTATTTTAATTTATATCATTTTTATTTATTTACAATTTTTTTTCTATAAAAATATTTTATCTTTTAAAATGTATTATCATTTTTATTTATTTACAATTTTTTTTCTATAAAAATATTTTATCTTTTAAAATGTATTATAATTTTTATTTATTTTAAAATTTCTAAAGGAAAAGCAGGGCAAAACGTATCACCAGAATAGCATTAAAAACTGATTTATGCTCAATACTTCCTAGACTATTTACAGAAAACAATATTTAAAAATATTTAAATTACAAATTAGCATACAAACCCACACACCATAACGTTCTGTTTATTAAAAGCACGTGCCTAAAAGGGGCGTTCATATCAACGACAACAATAAAGTTTTTATAAACAGTTTTATTTCCATGGGAATAGACCAATTTGGAGTATACGTCACAGTTACGTCACAGTTGCAGCTGCGCGCGCATTGTGGTGCGCCCACTTTTGAGCTTCAAAAACGCTCTTCGGAAATCTACGGGTGACGTCACGGACACTACGTCCATGTTTTTATACAGTCTATGGTTAAAACGGTCATTTTCTGCCACCAGATAGGCTCCGCCCACAAAAAAACGTCATCACTGTTTGCAAACACTGAAATTGGTCTATTGAATCCTCCACACCACAGCTATAACGGTGACAAGAAATTATATCGTTAGAATCGCTTTTGAATTTTTAAATGATAAAAACACTGACAACCAATCAGAATCCAGCTGACTTTAAAAAGCGCGCGCATCTAAAATGGCCGACAGGTATCAGAACGGTATATCAGCGTTGCCAAGGTTATCTCTTTGGATTTGAGACTTTAGTCTTTGCAACTTTACAGATCTTCTTTATGCACCAAGAGCTTGTAACACTTCAAAGAGAAAGGAAAAATTGAAATCGCATCATATGACCCCTTTAACACTGTTGCCGCGGGTTGCTTTTCATGTCCGCGGGTTGAAGCAACCCTAAAAACCATGATATTTAGCCCCTGAAATGCGAATTTTACCGGGGAACCCCACCAAAAAAACATGTATTTTACCCCCAGAACAAGATATTTACTGGGGAACCCCCCTCGAAACGCGATTGGGCCAGTTTTGAGTAGCAATTGGGCGGGTTTTGTTGTGAAAACCTGGCAACCCTGGGTGTCGGCCGTTGTTGTTGCGGATGTGAAAATAGTTATAGTTGTTTGTGTGCTATTAACATTATATATTACCATTATTATATAGCAATTTCACAGTAATTATCACGGTATATTTTGTAAGAGCATGTGGCTTTCTTTACTTAAAAACAAACTCAAAAGAACAAGCTCATACCAACATTTTAATGACTGACAAATATGCACATTTTCATTTGAAGAACATGTACATCTATTTAGGAAAAGAAACAAAAAATCTTGGGGAGGAATACAATCGACACAGAAATAGTCAAATTACTCAAACCGCGTGAAGAAGAAAAAAAGAAAGTTCAACACAACGATAAAATCAAAGCACTTGTGCTTGAGAATGTATAAATGTAGGATTAAACTATATCTGACTTGATCGTAAGAAGCCAGTGAGTCAAATATGAGTGCAATCCATGTCGAAGACTGATGGGACACTGCAGGACCAAACCAGACCGTTCATCTTTTTCATTAAATATCGGTAACCAATTAAGAAATATGCTAAGTGCTTTTATGTTCAATTTGTCCAGCACTGTTTTTGAAAGATTACAAGAACTCGACACATTTCCTGACATCCCTCAGTCGAGGGCAGGCCGAGTGAAAACACATTCACAATGACGGGAACATCTCAAAAACAGACCTGTTAATGACTGTACTATCTTTATGTGGAGAATAAACAGTCGCCAGAAAAGGGTCTCGAATGCATTCAGGCAGAAACACTGTGTCGAGATATTTGGGTGAATTTCATAAAACCTGTCAAGAACTTCTTTATTATTGTTATTATTATTATTATTTATTAATTTGTTTTCAGTAAATCAAAAGAACAAAATATATGTTTTATTATTTGGTTATTTCATTAACATTATACACAAATTAAGTAAATAAAGTTTATATGAAATAATGTTTTCAAATATTTTATTATTTATTCATTAATGTAATGCATCTGGATGTTTTATTTGAGATTGTAAATTTTATTCTCAGTTTTCATATTACAGTAAAGAGAGGTGTTTTTTTGCATTTTGAATTTTGGTAATTAGTCAGAATTATTTGCATCTTGGTAATGAGTCATAATATTCTAACCAGTACATTAGTCAGAATATATTTGAGTATTTATTTTTGCATTACTGTAACAAGCCTGAATATATATTTTTATTTATTTAATAAGAGTTTACATTTATTTATTTTCCCTAATGAGCAAAATAAATTTCATCATATATATATATTCTCCATTTTGATTTTGAAGCCAAAATATGACCTAGACAAGTTCTTGTCAGGTTTTGCAGTATTCACCTATTTAGCATTTTTTTAATACAACCTACATATATTGTGCGAGTATTCATGACTATAAATTGATAAATACACCAGAATAACAACTGCGATTTCAAGCTGGGTCAATATATCAAAATTATAATTTTTTTTCTTTGATTTGGTACTACAGGATAATTATATTCTTCAGAAATCATAGAAACAAATAACCCCATTATAATGGCGTTTACAAAAAAAAAAAAGGCAATCAAAACAAACAAAGCTCAGTAAGGATGCCAGATCAAAAACCGCCAGAACTCTTCAGCATCTATTAAAGCTTTAGCAGTTTCGGAAAAGCAACAGAGACAACCAAAGGGTTCAGTCTACTGATCAGTAGTTTTCTATCTAGTTCTGTAATACTCACCTGTTATATATTATTAGTGCCAGTGTAATTAAACATGGTTTTCAGAAGCCATGCATACAGTAGAGCTCATGTGAGCGGTGTGTGTCAAAGCCCAAGACCACATCTGCGCCCCTTTACCAGAGCATGCTGTTCAGATCGCATTAAACCAATAGCGGCGAGTGGGGAATCAGAGAGAACGTACGCTTCAGTGTGGAAGTCGCTGGTCAGTGGCCTCCCACGCTCTCGCCACAGGAAGAGGGTGGAGTCCAGGTCTGGAGTCTCGTTTCTAGCGGTATGACAGTGAACCTTTGGCAAATGAGGGAGCTGGATGATATGCGTGGCATTGCGGTGTCGGTGGGAAACACGGGGTGGAGGGTAATCCCGGAGCTGAACAGTCTTCAAGACGTTCATGGGACAAGGCAGGAGCTGATGGACAAATCTTGACATCCTTATGAATCCAAGCAATCTGCTGTAACGGATGGAGAAGTTACAATTTATTTCATTATTAACAAAAACATTTAGATTTTTAAAAAATTGAATCTTTTAAATTGTTTTTTTTTTTTTTATTTAAAATATATTTCATTATATCAAAAATACTCAAAGCTGATTTTCGGCAACATTACGCCAGTCTTCAGTGTCACATGATCCTTTAATATTTTTTTTTCTCCACACTTTTGAAGTGATGCGTGTCATTTATTACACGTTTAACTCTTTCCCCGCCGTTGACGAGTTATCTCGTCTTTTAAAAGAAAACGCTTCCCCGCCAAAGACTTTTTACGGCTTTTCGTGTTTTCACTGTTATACACTCGGGGGCACTATTACGCATCTTCTGAACGAGTACAAAACCTCCCGAACAAAAACACACGTGAACAGGACGGAGAAACGAGCGATCTCTTATGTAAACAGATGCATATGAAAAATAATGCGATCATCAGCAATAGACAACATATAAATGAAAACGTTACGGAGTAAACGTTACAACAAACGTTAAATGTTACGGCGTAAAATGTTGATCCAGGAAGTGGTATATGTCTGTGCAAGCTTTGGAGGTGTTGATGGAAGCGATTTACTGGATTTATACTTTTATAATCGTACTGAATATTATCCAGATGTAGTTTTTGATAAAAATTAGATTCTCACCTTTTTGCTCACAGTTATGCATTTTTTATCAAACCTACCTATATTCAAGTGTTGATAAAAAAAGAATGCTTTACGCTAGAATAAAACAGATTTTTTTTTGTTTAAAAGTAGAGGCTCTGATCTTTATTTTGGTGTATTGCATATTCAAATATCCATACAGCAAAATATTCTGGAGGCCATCAAATTTTAGTGAAAATCATCAAAATCGCATTTTTCAAAAATGCTGGCGGGGAAAGAGTTAATATACATATATATATATATATATTACATATTTGGAATTTAGAATTTTGTGTGATCTTTTGTTGGCACTAAAACTCTGTATTTGACCACCTAAAAACAGAAATAGAAACTTCCTTTATGAAAATAAAATAATGACTATTATTCAATTAATTGAGATCATAAATGCAATGAAAAATAAATTTGATCCTTTTTTGTGACCAATAAATTGGGCCATAAAAGCCTAATATTCATCAAATATGATACATAAAAATGCAATTTTTGAACATATCTTGTCTGAAGGTTCAATAAACCGTTTGATTGAAAATACTTTTTGACTGTTATTTCATATGTCAAGCTCTCCAGGGTTAAACAGGGTAAATATGTCGGGTTAAGCGTTTATTCAAATCGCTAACCCCAAATATGAGCAATAGCAATAGCAATGCCCGACTTATCAAGCTCCGCTAACAAGCAAAGTTTCTGCCCTATTTTGAAGTATTTTGTCCTAAACTGATCTTAAGAGAGCATCTGGAAACCCTTCCAGCATCTCAAGGGACCTCTAGTGGTCAACAGACCGTGCTTGAAGACAAAGTGAAAAAATCTTCACACAACATGCAATCGATGCACCATAGTTCACTCAGAGCATGTGAAAGTTTCTGTTTGTGTGCAGATTTTCAAAAAAACATTAAACTACATGTACAGTACAACGCAGGGCAATAGAGTTAAGGGGCGGTCACGCTGCACTTTTCGCTCCATTGACTTCCATTCATGTGCTGTGAATGCGTCAGACCGGAAACGCAAGCCTGTGTGAAAAGTTTCGCATTTCGCTGCGTTCCAAAGTTCAAGTTTTTAGCGAATTCGCATCATGTGACACCGTGTGACCAACGGCAGATTGATAAGTCACAGCATGACCTCCTATCCGAATTAAAAGAACATACATTTAAAACTGCAGCGCTGCAGGGAAGTGGAGTAGATGGTATGTTTTTACATTTTAGATGTATTATAATTTGTTGTTTGTTGAATTTAAGTTTTTAACAATTTAGCATGCTCAAAGTCTAGCATGACCGCGGCTTGAATCACATACGGCTGATTAAACTACTGTTCATTTACCATCTTGTGGGGGGTCGACGGTGATGTCCTCGGTCTCTGTGTCATCCTTCATCTCTTCGTCCTCGTCTTCCTCCTCTTCCAGCTCACTGGCGATGAGTTGTCGAGCTAGTTTAATGTTCATACCTTCATTATAATGCATCTTCCTCATCATCTGAAACTGCTGCTTTCTGGCTGAGGAAAGACAAAGCACGTACAGCTCTAAACACAAGAATCCACTGATTCACTGTTCTCCAACACAAAGCCGGAGGAAAGCAGTGCTACATCAGTACATCAAACTCAATACTGCAGGTGCTTTTATTTCACATTAGAATACACGCTTACAACCCCGTCATCGAAATTTCACGCATGTTTCTGTTTTTCTCTAGCAATAAACACTGGATTAACAAAAATAATCAAATCTTTAGTAAAATGATATTGATTAAAAAAAAAACATACAGTGCTTTCTTTGCATCTTTATATCAATATGGTACATGGTTATCTGATTTAAATCAATGTGATAAATGACTTGGGTCAAATGTAATCTAAAAGTAATCAAACAGCAGTCTGATTACATTACTTGAAATGTGTAATGTAATGAATTATGTTACTAACAGCAACTTTTGTCATGTAATCTGGAATCAGTAACGGATTACAATTTGTAAGTAATTGTAAGTATATATATTAGAGCTGCATGATTAATCGGTAAAAGATCGCGATCTCGATTCAAACACCCATGCGATCCCATTTGTAAATGACAACGATTCGCTCGTGACCATTAAACCTTTGAAAAAGTCATACTGGAGCAATCAAAGATGTTTGTGCTGCCGCTGACACAGAGCAGACAGTTACCATGTTTGGGTAAGAAACAGCTTCACACACAGTCTTTTCAACTACACTGTATTATTTCTGTCTTACAGTCTTTCCTATTATCAGAGAAATACTGGGATGAAAGTTTATAGTTCAGATATAAACTAGCGATCAAAGTAGAGCAAATCCCCTTTTGAAAGTAACTGGCGCTTCAAATAATGCTCGTCTCGATTGCATTGTTTTGCCACTAGGTGGCAAGAAGTGACTGTTTAAAATGTATTTGTCATTGAATCATTCATTCAAGAGATTCGTTCAAAAACACTAATTCATCCAGTAATGAAACAAGGGAAGTATTGAATCATTCATTTAAACCACTTTTTCATCATTTTAATTAAAAAATTGGTGTATTAAATATATTATATTTTAAATATACTGTATATTATACATTTACATTTCTAATAACTCGGGCAAATTAATTAAACACTTTTAATTAAAATTAATTTTAATTAAACACACAGCTGTCAGGGGTTGTCGAGGAATGAGGACTGCAAACGAAGATGTATACTTCCAAATAGACTTTACTGAGAATACGGGCGTAGAACACATACCACAAGATAATAACCGACAAAGGATAGAACAGAATCAGGACTATAAATACACACATGGTAAATGAGGGAATTAAACAGGAACAGCTGGACAAGGATTAACTAATCAGAAGCCATGGTAACTAATGAGAGCTCAAAACAGACATGACAGGAACTGAACTAAACTGACTATAATTGTGACATTAGCTCCGCCTCTCGGAAGGCGTGACCTCATGCCACAAGAGTAGATGATAGAAAAGAGGAAAGAGGGCGGAGGCTTAAGTGGAGGGCGTGGTGCTGGTGAAGGACAGGAACCTGGAGAAGTCGGAGGAAACCAACACCATGGTGGAGTTGACAGGCCGAGGTGGAGAAATGGGCCTGGAGGGCCGAAGTGCAGCCGGGGACTCGGCGCAATACCGAGCTGGTGGAGGGGAAGCTTGAGGAGAGGCTGACGAGCCACACGGTGCTAGCGGCGGAGGCAGAGCCGAGGAGCTAGACGACACCAGTGGGGCCGACGAATCCAGGGGACTGGCTGAAACCAGCGGAGGAGATGGGACCAGGAAATCTGACAGGGACATCGGAGGAGGAAGGCCTCCGGACGGGACAGGAGCCTCTAAAAATCCGGACGGGACCGGCAAAGAAGACATAGGTTTGAATGTGGGTACTTGGGTGGGAATTGGATCTGCGGACCACAGATCTATGAGGTTTATGTCTGCCTCTGGCTCTAGGGTGGACTGATCAGCGTGCTTAGCCTCCAGGGCTTTGGTGGCATCCGGTTCTGGTTCCTGGACGAGCCCTGTTGGTGTCTCGGGCTCGCTGACTGTGAGGGAGAGACCGCCGTTCTGGAGCATCCAGCCCAAATACCCCAGCCACCTTCGGACGTAACGCTGGTAAGTCCATCTTTTCTGTTTGTTTTTATGCGGTCGGTTATTCTGTCAGGGGTTGTCGAGGAATGAGGATTGCAAACAAATATTCATACTTCCAAATAAACTTTACTGAGAATATGGGCGTAGAGCAAAAACTCTATTCATTACTTTGCTTGCTGTTTTCTATGTTTACAGCCGCACACACATGAAGCGCACACACGCAAAGAGGCGTGTGTTTGACTGCGCGCGAGCACCGAACTGAACCCTCTTTCGTATCTCCTTCACTCCTTGCATTATACACATAAAATTGACAAAATACCCATCTCGACAATGATTGTGGCAAATGCAGTCTGTTGTGTCTTAAGTGAACGAGAACAGCTGAGAAAGAAATCGGATGTGTATCATTATGTTGGATCCGTGCATCAGGTCTTAAAGGGGCAGCAGCCTAATAATACCTGGTGCTGTCATTATGCTCATCAAACAACAAAAATTTTTTTTTTTTACAAAGATTAATCTATATTTCATTTATGTGAACACTATGCAGTGTTATTTTACACTTAATGATTAAGTACTTATCTTTAAGTAATAAATGGAAATCAAAGTTACATTGAAATATTTTAAATTTTCTTGCTGATCTGAAAAATTATCCAATCCGTGGCTCAAAAACCGTAACATTTGTCTGATGTTGTGGAGTATGTTATAATGTTCTGTTTTGTTGGACAACAGGTTTAGAAACGCTCCGCATTACAAGTCATGCTCGGCTTATGTTGCTTTTTCAGATGCACCATGCACGTGTTTCCTCATCTCAGCGCGCGACTCACGGACACACAAACAGAGCCAGTTTGGAGAGAAATAAAACAGACGGAAATTATTTAAATGCAAAACCGGAAAAAAACGCTCTGATTGGTTGAACTCCTCATTTTTTCTGTTGCTTGTTTACTGCGCGTGGACAGGTCACCAGGTTTTTGCATAGTTTAGAGTGACAAATCGTACCAGCGTACTTTAAGGTCAAAATGCTTACCCGCTACGCAAAATGCGTACAGGTTGGCAGGTCTGCCAATGTGGTCCGAGAAAGTCAGCTGATCATCAATCATAACTCCAAGGTTTCTGGCTGTTTTTGAAGGAGTTATGGTTGATGTGCCTAACTGGATGGTGAAATTGTGATGAAACGATGGGTTTGATGGAACCACAAGCAGTTCTGTCTTGGCAAGGTTGAGTTGAAGGTGATGGTCCTTCATCCAGCAAGAAATGTCTGTTACACAAGCTGAGATGTGAGCAGCTATCGTCAGATCATCGGGATGGAATGAAAGGTAGAGTTGAGTGTAATCAGCATAGCAGTGATATGAAAAGCCATGTCTCTGAATGACAGAACTTAATGATGCCATGTAGACAGAGAAGAGAAGTGGTCGAAGAACTGAGCCCTGAGGCTCCCCAGTAGTTAGATGTTGTGACATAGACACCTCACCTCTCCAAGATACCTTGAAGGACCTATCTGAGAGGTAAAACTCAAACCACTGGAGTGCGGTTCCAGAGATGCCCTTTGCCAATAGGGTTGACAGGAGGATCTGGTGGTTAACCGTGTCGAAAGCAGCGGACAGATCCAGCAAGATAAGTATTAATTTCTGAATGACAGAACCTAGTGATGCCATGTAGACAGAGAAGAGAAGTGGTCGAAGAACTGAGCCCTGAGGCTCCCCAGTAGTTAGATGTTGTGACTTGGGACACCTCACCTCTCCAAGATACCTTGAAGGACCTATCTGAGAGGTAAGACGCAAACTACTGGAGTGCAGTTCCTGAGATGCCCTTTGTCAATAGGGTTGACAGGAGGATCTGGTGGTTAATCGTGTTAAAAGCAGCGGACAGATCCAGCAAGATAAGTATTGAAGATTTGGAATCTGCTCTTGCCAGTCTTAGGGCTTCAACAACTGAGAGCAAGGCAGTCTCGGTTGAATGTCCACTTCTGAAGCCAGATTGGTTGCTGTCCAGGAGGTTGTTCTGTGTGAGAAAGGTTGAACACAGCTTGGTTGAACACAGCTCGTTCAAGTGTTTTTGCAATGAAATGAAGAAGGGAAACCGGTCTGTAGTAAAAGAGATGGGTAAAAGAGATGGGTAAAAGAGATGGGTTAAGGGTGGGTTTCTTAAGTAGTGGGGTTATATGAGCCTGTCTAAATGCTGAGGGAAAAACACCAGTGTGAAGGGATGTGTTAATGATGTGAGTGAGTGCAGGTACAACTGCAGGAGAAATGGCTTGAAGGAGATGAGATGGAATAGGATCAAGCGGACAAGTAGTAGGATGATTAGAAAGGATAAGTTTGGAGACTTCTGCCTCAGAGAGTGAAGAGAAGGATGTGAACGAGTTTATGTTTGCTGGTAAGATGTGCTTGACAGATTGTGGTGTGGAAAATTGTGCACTGATGTTTTTAATTTGATTAATGAAGAATGTGGCAAAGTCATCAGCTCTTAGAGTTGATGAAGGAGAGGGAGGAGGAGGACAAAGGAGGGAGGAAAATGTTTTAACGAGCATGCGAGAGTCCTCAGGAAAGTTTGAGAGCAGCACATCTAATTCTCCCACGAAGTTACCTAGTGGTCCTGGGGGTCGATAAACAACTACAAAATGGATTTTAAAAGGGTGGGTAATAGTGACTGAATGTGATTCAAAGGAGCTGTTGATACCCAGAGAAGATAAAGGAATAAATTTCCAATCATTAGAGATAAGCATACCAGCGAATGTGATTCAAAGGAGCTGTTGATACCCAGAGAAGATAAAGGAATACATTTCCAATCATTAGAGATAAGCATACCAGCACCTCCACCTCTTCCAGTGAGACGGGGAGTGTGGGAAAATGAGAAATTATTGGAGAGTGCTGCAGGAGTAGCAGTGTCCTCTGGTTTGATCCACATCTCTGTCAGGGCCATGAGGTTTAGTCTTGAATGACTAGTAATAGATGTGTCCCTGCACGGTGGAGTCACACGTTAGAGTTGATGGTCTTTACACTCTTCGGTCTTCACACGAGGGCTGTCGCGGTATATTAACCTTTTTTATACCCGTCCCTCAAAACGGAAATTGAATTGAGCTGAACACACTTTACCGTTTATCACAACAAAGGGCTAAGCAAGCGCACGACACTGACAGGGTGTGCGATAAGAGTACGAGACCAAACGCAATTACAGCACGTCTCACAGTAAACAAAACAAGCGTTTCCTAGCAACGACAACTGCGCTAAACACGAATAAGACAAGAAATAAATACACTATTTGATTAAATATGTCCAATATTTAATGTTCTAAATATACAAGAGCATTCAATAGGATATTAGTTTCTGCTGTGTTTTTAAAAGTATCATCAAGAATTGTGAGATTTCACTTGTATTAATATATATTTTGGACTTTTACTAGACAACGCTGTATGTAAGTATTTTACTGTGTAACACTGCATAAGACTGAGAAAACTTGAGGAAAAGAGACAAAAGACAAAAGAAAGGGTTGTGGAGCAGTGTGTGTTTGAGCCGCTGGCTGACGGTGCGGTGAGCTGTGCAAATGTGCAATCAGTGTGAGAGGAAACAGAGGTGAATCTGAGGTCAGGAGAGACAGAGACACGTGTCTCACCTTGCTCCTCCGGACTCAACTCCTCCTCCTCTTCCTCACTGCTCTCCTCCTCCGGCTCCTCCATGAAGCGAGATCCTGCGCCTTCCGCCGCTGCCACCAGCCTGAGACACACAGAAGTCAGAAAGAGTTTGGTGTTTTTAATTTTGATTCAGATATATTTGTATTTAGTATCAAGGTAATATTATATTTTTTATTAATATTTTGAATTAGTTTTATTTTTATATTTTCTGCTTTCATTTTTTATTAAATGTTTTTAAATATATTAAATTCATTTAATATACACATCACAATTTTTGTTGTGTTTTTGTCATTCTTTTTCATGTCTATATAGTTTTTATTCATTTTCATTTTGATGTTGGTTTTAGTTATTTTAGTATATCAAATTAAACTAAATGATACAAATAAAACAAAAAAATATAAAAAAATTATTAAAAGTATATTATTATATTACATAATATCATAATTTAAAATGCATTTTCTGTCACTTTATTAAGCCACAGGCCTGTGCAACAAAGCTTAATTTCCCATCATTTCCTGTGGCAGCACAGTAATGATAAAAGCATCAATTACACACCTAATGTGCATTGCTGTTGCACTAATACTAAAAGCCTTGCTGTCTTTGTGAAAGTGAAAAAAAAACAATAAATATGTAATTGCCCAAACATCCATTTAAGTCTAACCAAAATCACTTTATGCACATCATACTGTATCCATATCGACGACTTATAAGTAGAAACTAACTAGGAGGACTCGACGGCAGCTTATAAGGGAAAAAACAATAAGTTCTTCAATTAATTTGACTCAGATGGCCTTCTCATTGCTAATAGCTAATGTTAATAAAACACAACTCAGTGCAGCTTATTAAGAAAGTCTTTCATTAAACCTGGTGGTCTGTGTAGTATTTTCACTGTTAATGTGACCAGATCTAAGGAAAGCATCTCTCAGGAGTAACCGGACACACACACACGGACACACACACAGTGGCCCCAGTGAATGCTGGGTAGGAGAGCATAAAATGCATGTGCCTGAGGGAAACACAAGATAGAGTGGTGAAAGAACGACACAGTAGGAGGAGGACGATGACAATAGAGACAGCAGAGACACAGCCGGAGAAAGAAAGTGAAGGTGATCGGGACTAAAGCAGAGCAGTTGTATTACTAGGAGGTTTGGGATGCTCTTCCTGGCAGCTAACATCAGCTTTAGATTCAGTTACAGGCCTGCGGCAAACAAACCACTCACTCACATTCATCTCAGAGCTTTTAAAGACACAGATCTAGATTTAAACATCCAAATCCTGCATTAAAATGGACCTATTCTATTCATTCAAGGACTTTAAGTGCCTTTCTCTGAGGGCAAGAAAATCTATAAACATTCTGGTGGGAATTCTTACATAAAATCAAATAGTCGCTGCATTGTTTTAAAGGAATAGGTCACCTAATAATAAAAATTCTAAATCAAACAGTGAGAGATCAATGACATTGAAGCACACTTGTTTTTGCGTTTATGTCATAACACAAGCTCCAGTGCAGTGTTGTGGATAACACATTACAAGTAACGCGAGTTACGTAATCAGATTACTTTTTTCAAGTAACTAGTAAAGTAACATTACTTTTTAATTTACAACAAAAATATCCGAGTTACTTTTTTCAAATAAGTAATGCAAGTTACTTTGTTTTCCCATTTATTCACTGACTTTTGGGTTTTTTTGTTAAGCAAGCCCAGCCTAGGTGACAAAAAGTAACGTAAAAGTAACAATGCATAACTTTCCATAAAACGTAACTAAGTAATGCAATTAGTTACTTTATGGACAATCGCGATATCATAATGCATTACTTTTGAAAGTAACTTTTCCCAGCACTGCTCCAATGAGGTTTTATTGAGGTGTCTGTAAATTGACCCTTCGCAAAGACCCGCCCCACTTCGTTACTGTTGCTACGTCCGACAAGCCATGGTGCTCTCATGCCACACATCATGCTCTCACAGAGTGAAAAATACATTGCAAATAGAGATCACGATTCTCCCACGATTCTGAACTAAACAAAATAGTGCGAGACAAAATATTATTGCTGCAGTCTATTTATAAGTGTTTAATTTGAATAAATTAAACATTTTAATATATATGTATTTTTGGATTGTTTCATTACTGGATGAATCAGCGTTTTTGAACTAATCTCTTGAATGAATGATTCAATGACAAATACATTTTTGTCAGTCACTTGTTGCCACCTAGTGGTGAAACAATGCAATCGACAAGCATTATTTGAAGCGCCAGTTCCTATCAAAAGGATATTTACTCTATTTTGATCACTAGACATCAATGTTTATATCCGAACTATAAACTTCCATCCCAGTATTTCTGTGATAATAGGAATGACTGTAAGACAGAAATAATACTGTGTAGTTGAAAAGACTGAAGCCGTTTCTTACCCAAACATGGTAACTTTCTGCTCTGTGTCAGCGGCACCACAAACAGATTTGAATGCAGATTTGTATGACTTTTTCCAAGGTTTAATGGTAACGAGCAAATCGTCATTTAAAAATGGGATCGCATGGGTGTTTGAATCGAGATTATCATCTTTTAACGATTAATCGTGCAGCTCTATTACAGCACTAAATAAACATGAATGAATATCAGAAGGTATCTTGTTTCAACTGCGGAAAGATGTCAATACACAAAATTTTTCAAGTTCAAGTCCACCAAAGTTAATGTACTCTCCTGGTTGGTTTGTTTATCGGACAAAATGGCGAATTCTGCGTTATGACTGGTTAGATCGCCTGTCAATCAAACTTCCTGTGAAGGTTCAGTTGGGCTCTGTATAAATTAGGTTGGTTGATTTAAATGTGTGGCCACATATACTATTGATCTACGAAATTTAAATAAAATATTGAGCAGTCTATTAAAAAAAATTCTACAAAGATACATATCGCACCGGGTTCAAGGTTTTTTGTGAATTTGCCATGTTGACCAACAGAAAGCTGCTTGGTTTGAAAGCGAGCACTGCTAAAATGTTGTACTTTATAACCACTTAAATTTTGTTTTGTTTATCATTCAAAATGAATAGGCCTAGATCTTTTCAGAAGACTTCCTTTTTCTTTAACAGCAAGCCGCCTAGTCTGTCTGTAACATATTTTAAGAAAGGCAATTTCAAAAATGTGACATTCATGATGTGTTGCAAAACATCATGAAAAACAAGATACAATGCAATGTTTAAAGATCGTCATCTGCAAATTTTAAAAAGCAGCGTAGAGGGAATGCAATAACATTAAATGTTAAAAAACTAAACTTTTTTTGTGTGAAATACATTCTCAATAGGAATCGACACAATTGTGAATATTTGAATAATTGTGAAAATTGTGAATATCACGTGTACGCGTTGCTTTACCACGTAAAAATACAATAGTGTAAAATGTCATAGTTAACCGTGTCTGACATGAAAACTATGCTAGTCATAGTCCCTTAAAATGATTTGTTCGTTATCTTTTGTTTATTTAGTTTTTAGTAAAATCAAATGTGACCTTGTTGTTTGCAACTATGGCAACGTTCGCCCCATGATCGAGTCGCAAACACCACATCGACTGCACAAAACTACGAGAGAAAGCCGCAGCCGCGTGGCGTTTCCACCGCTTGCCACTTCCCGTGTGAAAAGGCCTTTAACCCTTTCGCACGCGAGTTTAAAATATTCTAGCTGAGCCCCCAGCGTAAGTTTTTTTAGGCAACCGTTATTTTAGAACGTATCGCCTTATTGTTTCCATGGCGACGTGTCATGCTTGTGATGTGACACAACGCAGCCACAATAGATCTGTATGACACATGGATCGCTTTTATTTAGTTTTTCCTGTTTTATTCAAAATATTCACAAACATGCTCACTATCTTATGAAATCTCTGATATTCCGATTCTGAAATATGTGCAAGCATGTGGGCACTTTTATAACGACCGTGTTAGTTGATCTATACCGGGTGATGGGCGCCGCTATGTTAGTTCGCGCTGAATCCGAGCTGTGGGATTTACAACACGCAAATTCATCCTCTCCTCCCGAAACACGTTAAAGTAGGTCTCCGGTAAACTGGGAGAAGAGCAGAGTAAACTTTATAGTTACCTTCACAATCTGTATATGATATCAATAAAAACATGTCGTCGGATTATATTTGTAAGGATCATTATTGCCGTTTCCATAGACATCAGCGTGCATTTTACAAACTGTAAATGTATGGTTTTGCTAGTACTTATGTGTATTTAAATGTGTGGAACCTAAAATAAGCATTATATGGTTGAAAACACTGAATATTTGTGATAATATGACAAGCGCTCAGCGCGTCCGATCTGGCTCCGCGCCAGCCAAAGCGCAGAAGCAGATTTGAATTCAGCAGTTGATCACGTGACTCACTGAAAGTTCTAATCACACCGGTGTGATCGTACGCTTCAGGGACCAGCTAAGACTGATCACACCGGTGTGATCGTACGCTTCAGGGACCAGCTAAGACTGATCACACCGGTGTGATCGTACGCGTTAAAGGGTTAATGATAGAAGTACGCTTCAGGGCACTGAAAGTTCTAATCACACCGGTGTGATCGTACGCTTCAGGGACCAGCTAAGACTGATCACACCGGTGTGATCGTACGCTTCAGGGACCAGCTAAGACTGATCACACCGGTGTGATCGTACGCTTCAGGGACCAGCTAAGACTGATCACACCGGTGTGATCGTACACGTCAAAGGGTTAAACGGTCTTCATACAGAGCGTGAACAACCATGGGACACACATATTATTCCACCCGTTGCGTAAATTTTAGGGTCTCCATGTGCAGGACTCTGTACTGACATGTTTCTCTGTATATCAGAAGCACATGGCGGCTTTTTTGGAAACACTGAAATGCCAGGAAAGCATCGTGTTTGAGTCGAACTCCAAACAGAAGCAGTCAGACAGAAGACGCTGGGCAGGCACTACTGTGAAAGCGGTTAGCCGCTCTGCTTGAGTTGATGTGACCGTTGATTCGCCTGTAGGCTGTGACGTGACATCTGTTCGGACTTCTGGTTGTTCATGTATTGTTAACTACATTAAACCAACAAGGCGGCAGGAAACCAAAAATAATAGAAATACTCTGTTCTCACAGCTGTTGTATCTTAATGAGCTTTCCTTACATAGGTTACTTAAACGCACTCAATCACTGTGAATCCACTGATGTCAAGGCAGACTTGACTGATGTCACAAGAACGTGGCAGGAAAAATGCAAAGGTTTGGGACAGTTGTGATCCATCATGTTACCAAACATTGCTTTTAGAAATCGATTTTGCTGCCTTTCTGCTTGATTTTCAAATTGACTCTTTTTACAGCTTTCAATGGATATCGTGCATTTTTACCCATCAAATGCTCCGTCAAAGCTTTATCTAGTGTGCAAGCAGCCTAATCTTTGCGTGAACAACATTTCCTTTTTTCAGAAAAGAGGACTCCATTTCATCCAGTGCAATGTAAATAGAAAAAAGAAAGCACCACTATCGCAGTGTTTTAACACACATAAAATTAAAATGGGATATATTTTAGCACTTTGATAGTACAAACCACAGTTGTCCAGTTATCAGTATTACAATAACAATAATAAAAAAAGCGATGCGTGTTTCTTCAATTAAAGGCACTTTTATGTCCCAGAATTTGGTTTTGATTAAATGGACTTTGCATTTTGTTGATATTTTGTTACTTTTTTATTATTATTATTTCAAATTAAAATTATTTTAGAAGTTGTTTTTTATGCCTTTATTTATTTATGTATTTATTTATTTTTAATTGCCTTTTAATGCATAGATTTTCCTTGGCCCAAACACAGACTTTTGATCTTAAACTAAGAAAACCCATAGTAAAATTACAAAAGCATTTCTATTATACGTGGTTTCATACAAATTATGACTATTCACCACTACTACCATCTTGCCACCTTTTTCCAAAAGTACTACTGCGCTTAGAATGCAAACTTGGGTCCTTTTATAATCCCAGTAGGGTTTATAATTTAATTTAATTTTCTTTTTCTATACAAAAAGATCCAACTTTCATTTGCATAAAGACTGAATACCAATCCTAAACTATTCTGAAAAAACTATTCTAAACTATTCTATTCTAAACTATACTAAAAACTACTCTGACACACTGCAGCCCAAAACACTTGAATAAGACAGGGTGCCAATGAGGGAGTGTCCAAATGATTTGTTATGGTTCTGGTCAATAACAATAAAATAAACAAAATAGTAAAGGCGAGTGTTTTGTTATTATTAAGAAAGTAGTTTGCTGTGAGATTCTGTGATAAGGATGGAGTATAGGTGGGGTGTCACCCAAATTTTGGAACCCAAAACATTTTGAGAATCCCTCCACTACCCTTCCATCCATATCAGAGATAGCAATCATGCATCACTTACTTCTTAGCAAGGTCATCTCCGGGTAGGACTGTGTTCCCCTCCGAATCGCTGAGCGCCCCCTCATCCTCGTCATCGCCGACCATCCTAAGAGGGACAGGAGATTTTTGGCCGATAGCCCGAATGGAGAAAGACAGCATGACCTTTTCCGCAAATTTGCCCTGTCATATTGAGTTGCACCCTCAGTGCTGCTCTTGTATTTTGCAGACAGGGCAGTAACATATCCAGAGAGTAGAGCAAAGCTTTGAACTACACATATTCACAATCCATAGAGCCTCAGCAAGAGATCAAATCTTTAATAATTACTGTTCTTCAAACTGTAGCTTAAATGAATGCAGTGTAATCTATGGCTTATCGTCCATATCAGTGCATCCCTAATTTAAACTGGACTCCCTTCTGGACATTTTCTCTGCACAGAGCAAAGTCCTGACTACTCGAAAAAGTAATTTATAGTTTATTTTATTTATACCGTTTTGTTCATTTAATCACTCCTTAGAAAATTCACTCAATCCAATTTGTTCTAACAAGCACTTTTTTATTTTCTTATTACATTTAATAGGGTGGCGGCAGCTTCACTCCTGAATCCACGCAGTAGCGCAACCACATTAGAATTCATATATTTATACAGATATAGTCTAAACAGCATTAATGTCAATTTTTGTGTGCTGCTTACCTGTGGTATGGCGTGCTGGGCTCGTCTATCTTCATCAGCCCATAGTCCTTATCTGCCGGGTGATATGTGGCCAAAATGTTCATTTCATCCCATTTCTGTGATTTCTTCCTATAAGAACAGACAGAAACACAAAGCTTAGCAGACAATTATAGATTAGTTATTAGCCCTGACGCAAATATTCCCACTGAGATCTGCTACTTTAAACGAAGGACTCTGCCCCACTTTGAAACTTTAAGAAGTACCTTGGAAACAGCGGACACAAAAAATAGCACCAAGTGGCATACATTGCCAAATATACCGAGCCTTTAGTGACATAAATGAAAAGACTGGCAGACAAGGCCCTCATTCATATCTCAAGTAAATGTTTCCCAATGCATTGAACGCTATAGTTATGTTACAGCGCTACACCTAGTGCAGTTTTGTAATGCAAACCACAAAGTACAATTAATTTCAACCGACTGCCTTTTCAAACCAGTGGACAATGCATTTGATGCATAATTATGAGTGCGTTTGGTGACATGAACGCAGCAGACTGGATCACTAACGCGTCTGCAGTAGCAGTCAAATGTGCCAATCCACATGGAAGAAGAACAGTTACACAACCACTGTTTGGATGAGGTGCTGCGTTACAGAGCCAGTGTGAAAATCCACTCAAACCTGATTTAAAATGGCAATTTTTAACTATAGCATTTCAAAGAACCGTTGTTTTGACGGTATTTTTAGGTCTCTTTTATAGAGGTATTGGATGAAGTGAGTCTTGGATGAAATCAGTGCAAGATTTACCGACAGAAAGATGAACAAAGCAAGACCAAGGACCAATCGAGCAATGCTAATCTCTTTAGAATGGATGTTCATGTCCCCTCGCTAAATAATCAAGAGATTAGTTTCATTCATGTTTGACTGCGAATAGCGTCAATAGCGTCAATACGGTGCACTGTTGCATGTAGTAGAGGTCAAGGTTTTTCTCAATGGATCATAGGTTAGAAAAACAGTACATGAACAAGCGGCCTGTAGTGGCTTATTAGGAGAGCAAGCACAACACAATACAAGGAACTTGTCTGCGGTTAGGAGACCCGAATGCTGCGAAAACGTAGAATTCAAACAGTTTTATCACCACGGGAAAAAGTCCTGGAAAAACAGCAGTTCAGGCAAAAATAAGATCTACAAGCTGGTACAGGTTATCCTCCTGATCTCTCAAGTAACAAAAAAGTTGCCAAAGAAACATGGCTCTCCTGCTACTGCAGGTGTTTGAGAAACAAAACATATTGTTAGAAAAATAATGCCCTCATATTCACACAGGATAAAGGTGGGACATATACAGTGGAGAAGCAAGTAGAGAGTAAAACGCAAAGTCACTTAGTCAATATTTTTGGACATCCGTAAGATGGAATTCTTTAACAATTTCCAAAAATGTGATCCTAATTAATTCTGTCTGTCAATCACATAAAATCCATTATAAAATATATAACCCAAAATGTTCAATGACAATTAACCTGATTCAGTAGTTAAAAATACATGAGAAATACATTTTGTAATAAATGCTATTTTAATTTCAATAATTTTTCTAATGCATTATTAATATATATTTTGTAAAAAAACAAATAGATAAATATGTGACAAATTATAATAGCCTACTGCCAAAAAAACACCTGTCGCTAATTCCGTTTAATTGCAAATTTAAGCCCTTGTATTTCTTCATAGCCCTACTACGTATATTTTAAGCCTACTTTGTTTTCATTAGACCTAATAATATAATCATTAAAAATTTATATTTTGTTGTGCTTGTTTATTTGATTATTAATTAACCCAACTGCAGTAGCTTTGTCTATAAAAATTACACAAAAACTAAACTACAGCTGGTATTATTTTGAGTTAAAAGTGACTAAGCAGAGATTATCTTAAATAATTAATAATAATTAGTTACATTTATATAGCGCTTTTCTGGGTACTCAAAGCGCTTTACATGAAAGGAGGGGAATCTGCTCAACCACCACCAGTGTGCAGGCAGCCACAGTGCGCCAGAACACCCACCACACACTGGCTTATTGGTGGAGAGGAGAAGGAGTGAAGAAGCCAATCAGTGTATGGGGATGATTAGGAGGCCATGATGGTCAGAGGCCAATGGGCAAATTTGGCTAGGATGCCAGGGTTACACCCCTACGCTTTTTCGAAAGACATCCTGGGATTTTAAATGACCACAGAGAGTCAGGACCTCAGTTTAACGTCTCATCCGAAGGACGGTGCTTTTTACAGTATAGTGTCCCCGTCACTATACTGGGGCATTAGGACCCACACAGACCACAGGGTGAGCACCTCCTGCTGGCCTCACTAGCACCTCTTCCAGCAGCAACCTAGTTTTTCCCAGGAGGTCTCCCATCCAGGAACTGACCAGCTCAACCCTGCTCAGCTTCAGTGGGTAACCAGTCTTGGGCTTCAGGGTGATATGGCTGCCTCTGTGAACATGAGCAAAACAAAATGTGGAAAAATGTCTGTTGTTTGTCCCTTTGGTCATATATTGCATGCAAATGAGACTTGTCCCGCGCCACTCGCGTGCGGTGTAGACACGGTGTAACATTGGTTTTGCTTTGTTTCACAGAACTAATCGTTGCCTGGGTTGCGTACGTATGTGTGGGGCGGAGTTATCAAAATAGGGGCAAGACCCTTTTGGGGTAGGGGCGTGTTTGTTTTGGTGATTTCAAATGTCAACATTGGCTACCAGAAATCGCTTACCCCACCTTTAAATAATTGTCACCTGAAATCGGCAATTGGTATTATCTGTAAAAAAAAATTTTTTAAAAATTGATCAGAGCATGCTTATTAAATTAGTCATTTTGATTTGATCTGTTTGTTCTGTAGACATGAATGAACAGATATCTCAAATCACACTGTTTGTTGCTGCATGCTGCTTTCCTGTTTACTTACTATTTTGCCTGTTGCATGATAAAACTGAAAAATCTCATAGACTTGCACTGAAGGAGGGACCCGTGCCATATCTGCGAGCAAAATATCAGAGACTTGTGGCTTTGCCAGTAAATAAAATGCCCTAGCAACCGCATAACGCACCAGAAGCACTCAAAACACCTTAACAAATGCCCTGGCAACCACCCACACTCCAGCATTGTGGAGAGGATTTTGCACGAGCAAACACCATTCTCAGTTTCTTTACAATATGTTAAACTCTAGTTTATTACAAACCAAGTTCAATCAAATATTTCTAAGAAATCACTTGATATTTCAAACTAAAGTGTCCAAAAGAAATTAAGCAACATTTAGCCGAGATTACGGTATTTTCCGGAAACAAATTAGTGATTAAAAAGTATATAAATTTGTATGTTTTGTATTTTTAGCGGTATCCCGACCGCTAGATAGCAGTCTTCATCTCTGAACTTAGACAGTGACAAGAAATACTAGCATAAGGGCACACCACTAATGTTAGCGTTAATATAGTTCGCTGCTAGTAATGGAGGATGAAAGAATTTTCCCAGTTCCTGTTTCGGTGTACAAACTGAAAAACCTGTGAAATCCAAGTGGAAAGGTTCTGAGAATGTTCAACATCTGTATTTATTTTACTGTTTTTCAATTGTTTTGTTTTCTTTAGGAATCCTGCAAGCACTTTATTTTTCATTGATATTAAGCAGATGTAATTCTTTTGTTCAGATCCAAATGTTATGACATTGTATGTTACAATTGTAAACTTAAACTGTGAAACTTTAAAGCAGGGTCTAAAAATATATATGGTCTTTTTATAAAATACATTTTATACGTATCATACATTTAACTAAAGGATCCTGCAAGCACTTTAATTTTTCCCCCTTGACTTGTACTGCACAAAATGTGGTTCAATAACGTTGAATGTTACACACTGTTAGACATTTCTGTAATTTCTACAGTTATTTACTGTATATCACCCAGTATAATACTGCAAATTCGCTTTACAGTAAGTAACTGTATTACCCTTTGCATCATGGGAATTTTCTGTGACGTCAAATTACTGTCCGCATCCACTGTAGATAGCATAATGGGTTCTATATTGTCTTTTGTCGAGTCGAGTCGCGCCGCGCCATTCGCGTCCGAGGAAGACACGGATCCAGCGCAGCAGTGCCGCCCGCGGGTTTTGCCCGGGGATGAACCCGCGAGAGTGGAAGAGTTCCGGAGAACATCTGCGCTGTGTGTCGATGCACATTACGAGAGAAGAAGACCAGTAAGCAAGGTAAAAAAATATATACGTACGTTTGTCTGTCTGTTTGTGTCAACATTTTTGCACACCAGTTTAACCTAGTAACATTTACCCATCAACATAGCGGTAGCAAACTTTACTATGGTAAACTGCGCTGTCGTTTCAAACGACTTTTGTCAGCTTATTGAATTACCGAATTAAAATTACTTTTAACAAGCAACGCTTATCTTGTATTAACATTGTAACTAATGTGAAATTTTGTTCAGGTGTTAGTAGTTAATGTTGGCCAGTAGCCTATTGAGAAAATAAAATCGTATGTTAGCTAGGTTAAAC